AATCTCAGTTACTATGGGAAACCGGTCTGTTAACCATAACTCAGTTGAAATTAAGAAAAACAAACCAAATTTCAACATTTTTATTACATTTACTAGTGTTTGCTGAGATTGTCGGAGAATCAAATTTAAAAACTATGTTTCCTGAGTTAAAAATCGATGTTTTTTTTTCCTTTTTCTACATGTTTCTGTTACTTATTCATTTCTGATCGTAAATGTTGATGCTTAACTATTGGCATTAGTGTTTGATAAAATTGAATTTGTAATATTAAAAACGCAGTGTCATTGACGATGTTATTATTCATACATGCATATGAACTACAGTGAGTACCGGCTTAGGGCAACATCATCTCGAAACACCGGTTTCCGTACGATCACCAAAGTTAAGCAACGTCGATCCTGGTCAGTACATAGATGCGTGTCATTTTCGAAGAGCTGTACCCTTAGATGTGTGGGTGGTGTAATGGATAATGGCTAAGAATTGTTAATCCCCGAGTCAAGTTCCAATTCCAATTGGGTTCATTATATTCACTTAAGCGTAAATAACCTTGGGAAAGGTATGAATCCGTCGACTTTCTCTCCACCAGCTATGGGTTAATTAGTAAGATTTGTATCAGAAACCATTATTAGCATCCCCACCAAAAAAAAATTCTAAAAGTCTAAAAAGATTTTCTGGCTTTAAATAATCTACAAACCATTGACAATACGTAGTAAATGAATCAGTAAAAAATTGTGTGTACACCGCAACACACACACACACACACACACACAGGTGTGTATGTGTGTGCGTGTTGTGCGTGCTGTGCGAATATGTAATGCCTTTGCCTATAATCAAATTAGGGCACTATTCAATGTCTGAATTTCTCATGTCTGTATAGTGGACCCTTGCAGATGATGAACAAATATTTCAACTACTGATGCGGAAATAATTACTCAACAGAACGTTATTTCTCCAATATTCATGAAATATTGGACATAAACAAGAGAACGCAAGGTATTTCTTTTTTGTATTTTATTAGTACGAAGCAATTACAAAATTACTTACATACCGTAATTCCCTATGTATAATACACATTTTTTCCTAAAAATAATAAGCAACATTAGGGGTGCGTATTATGCACAGCTACAAAAAAATCTTTAAAAAATTACCGTTTCATAGGTCGATTTCAGTTGCGAAATGACTATTCACCACAAACATACGACAATTTGACATTAATATTCGATGATTGCGACCCCATAAGGATGTCAAATAAAATCATATTTACCTAACAATACTTACAAATGTAAAATAAAATGAGGATTATCATAAAACTAAATTAGAATATTATTCTATGCTTAAAAACATTTTTTTTAATAAGAGTAGGAAACGCTGGCCGTACTAAAATTAGAAAGGTACAATTTATCTCGTTTGATTATCAAATAAGGAGTGCGTATTATGCATGAATAGAAGCATTTTCCCACACATTCAGCAGAATTTTAGGGGTGCGTATTATGGATGGAGGCGTATTATACATGGGGAATTACGGTAATATCATCATATTAAACAGAAAATATGAAGATAGATAGATAGATTTATCGACTAATGAACTTTCCTCTTGATACCTCGATTTTACGTATTAAAGCACAGTACTAGATAGTCAGCAAAAACTCATCAGTTTAAAGTTGAAGTTGCTAGATGTAACCGTAAGTTCTATGCTAACAGTTTCTTCTCTGGCACTTCTCGCTTGTGGATCTCTCTTCAGGAATCTTGCTTTCCAGTGAACTTTGATTTTCAAAAATTTAAATGTAATATCAATCGTTATTTTCTGTCTTCGTTCCTGTGTTTTTATTGTTCTCTCTCATTAGTAGTGTCTTTTTTCTTTTCTCATATCCTTTAACACTGGGTAAACCCTTGCTTTTTGTGGTTTTGTTGCCTGGCTTGGAATTAAATGATTAAAAAAAACGATCGGTTAAAATACAGTGGTGACGATGATGGCAATAATAATTGTAACATTCTCTATGTTACGTATAGCGATATTTTTGAAAACAGTATTATGTTTTATTATGTAAATCAACGATTTCAGAATAGTTGGTAAATTTACAATATATGCCCATATTTAAATATAATTTTTAAGTTTCCACTTATATGTTTTTATTAAAATAGTATTAACAATATCTTTTTTGATGATGTGGTATTTTATAATAGCAATTGTTTTCGAATAGTATATTTATCGATAAGTTTTCTTTAATATTAAATATATAATTATTTTCAAGACAGATATAACCTCAAAAGAGAAGCATGATATTCTAAGATTATTAAGTGATAGGACCACGAAATTAGAAATTAAGAAAAAACTTTAATAAAGCCAACTGAAAAATTCAATAAAACAAATTTGAAATATTGACAAGAAGCAAAAAAAAAAAGACTATCTTTAAGAATGACACAAAAAGGCAATTGCTAAGTAGTAATACGCTAACTAGCAAATAAAATGATTGAATTGACAGGATAGGTAATATTTGAAGA